CGACCTGTATGAGCAAGATGGTTGAGGATTAAAAGGTCGGACCGGTATCGAACCGATGACATATAAAATAAATAAATACACAAATAAACTATAAAAATATCATAACTATAATATATTTTTTAATTTTAGTTTACTAATTGAAAGTAAATATAATCCATGTTTGTTAATTAGATTTATTATATTAATTTATTTAACCTAAAAAACTAACAATTAATATGTTCAAAATAATTTGCTTGTTCAAATTGAGATTATTTGTGATTATAATCTTGTTGGGGCTTATGATTTGTTAATGAAAATAATGAAGTAAACTAATAAACACATAGAATTAGTAATTGGCTATTATCTCATATTGGAAGATTACTACAATATTGGAAGAAGAGTCTCCTTTATAAAGGAGCTAGTATCCCACATTGGAAAATCACTAAAATATTGAAAGAAAGTCTCCTTCAAAAATTAGCTAAAGGAAACTCACTTGTATATAAAAGTTATTTGGGCCTTCTATTGCAATAGGCACCCCATCAAGGTAGCCAAAATTTTCTATGAAGAAAAAAATTATATTAACCTAAAAAATTGTGGCTGGTCTTTTGGTTCATGATTCTACTGGCTGGGTTGATGGTTTAGTAGTCGATTCTTTATTTTTCGGTTAATGTATGGGTACCAGATTGGATTAAAGGTTGGCTCACGATTTTTTCGGTTGAATCGGCCGATTCCATTTGATTTTTATAGCATTGGTCATTAATACCCTAAACTCTACATTTTAGTTTCAACTTAAAAAAAGTTTTTAAAAATTTGAAAATCATATTTAATACTTTTTTTAATTATCAAGTAATAATTATTACATTAAAAAATTATGTATTCTCTTTTCATCACCGATATCACTCTATTCACTCTATCTATGCGGAGTAGTCAATGTTTTTTATATGAGATCAATTTACTAACAGTGGTGGTCGAGTACAAAAGGAAGGCAAGTTTAGAAGAGAGGGGCGACGGAGACAAGGGCTGACAAATTGTTATGGTAATTTATTGCAGAATTTGGTGGCGAGTGGTGGGAGGTCGTGATTGCCGACGATCATCGTTTAATGTGGCTTCTAGTAACAGTGGATGAAGTTTGGTTGTAATATGTGGTCAGGTCGATTGCAAGGTAAAGAGAAGTTTGAGTGGTGTATTTACGAGGCAGCGATGTGAATGACAGATTTGATCGACGATGCTGAGGAAGATGAAGGTGGAGGCTGAATTAAATATGCAAATCTTTGTCGATGGAACTTGAAGATGACGACGACAGTATGTTGATAGTTGGTATGGCTTTGCAGCTTGCAGTCGGTGATTTGGGTGGTGCATCACTGCTTCTGCCTCTGGTTGTGCACGTCTCAGTGTATTTGAGGTGAAAGTGGTTGTGATTGTGGATTTGATGTGTCGAATGCGATTTAGGTGGTGTCAACGATGGTAGAGGGGTGAGGTGGGGAATATGAATTGTGACCGGTTTTTGGATAATTGTGATCAGTTAATCTGATAATTTGCGACCGATAACTAAATTGTCACATGTAAAAAATATGTGATTTATGACTCACAACTTGCATTTTGTGTCTATGACCTCGTGTGATTTGGTACGTGATCATGATCACAAATTATATTTTATTGTGACAATGAACCGTTTAATTACTTAACATATCACAAAAAATTATCTAGTGGTCGGACAAACTGATTTTTGAAAGAAAACAAGTTTCTTAAATTCGAAAGTAAATCTTAAAAATAGGGTAATTATTTATAATTTTTTCATTAATATTATGTTATTTTGGCCCATCATATGTTATGCCTAAATCCACAAGAAGATTGTAATAATTTAACCGACTCTATTTAATAGACATAAGTATTATCCTCAGCTAATGTAGGGTCCAACCCAGTACATATATACTTATGATGTTTGCAAGCATAATATTAGTCACCCAAGTTTGAGTTATACATTTAAGTTAGACTTGAAATATAAATTTTCTTAAATTAGATGATGAATTACGAATTGCATTTGAAGTACGAGAAACAATAGCTAAAATATGTGTTGATCGAAGTAGATGAAGACTTACGAATTATCTCTAAAAACTGACCTTTGACAAGCAAGTGCGGCAATTAATATTCGAGACATGAGGACTTGCGAGAATAAAAAGTTGGTATTTCATTTTAAAATAAAAAAAGAAAAGAAAGTATGATTATTTTATAGAATTATCAGTACTTGTACCTTAATATGATAATTAAGATATTGATTTTAAGGGACTGTTTGAACCCTATTTTGTTAATATATATATTCGATTTACATGTAAAATTATTTTATGAAAGTATTTTCGATTTACATGTAAAATTATTTTATGAAAGAATGCATAATCAAAAATAATTTTAAAAAAAAATAAGAGTCAACATAAGCCCTTGTTTGGCCCCCCATTATGATGAGAAATTTGAGTAAAATTTATTTTGGAACAATAGTTTTTGGGAAATTGTGTGGCTAAAAAAGAAGGATTTTTTATTTATTTATGTGTAATATTATTTTATTTAAGAATGTGTAGTTGAAAAGAAAAGAAAAAAATGTATTAAAATTTTAATGGAAACCACACAAGGGCTAAACTAAATTATAGTTATCAATAGTACAATAATTTTCAAAATAATAGAATCAAATACAAATAAAGCTCTTTTTAGAAGTCAAGCATCTGTTCGTTAAATTTATAACTAAAAGGGCAGTTAATTAAATGAATGGTCACTGAAATTTATCGTTGGTTACCACTTGTTCACCTAAAATAGAAATGTTAATGAATGCTAACTGACTATTCATCCATTTACCTATCCATCACTATTGTCACTTCCATCTGTACAATCGGCAAAAAAAGTTCCACATGGCGGTAGACAGAATTTGTTAAATCTCCAAGTCACTGTAAATTATTGTTTGTAAATGACAACTTCTCCAATTTAGCTTATGCATAATCAATATTCGTTAGGGTGATGATGCCTAATTCAGATAACCATTTCTGAGATTAAAGGGAATGCCAGAATCTCGAAGCCCAATCAATTCTTATTCGCTAGTTTGATGGTATAATTTTCGTGAATCCCAATTCACAACCCTTTTCTACTTTTAAAAAACAAATCAAGAATGAAATGATATCAAAACAGAAAAAATTAATAATCCGACGTGAATTAGAATGTGAACTCAGAAATCAAAACGTGAAAGACGCATATGAAGACCCAGAGTTGCTTAGGCAATCTGAAGTACTTTTCATTGCAACTAGAACAACACCTATATCTCTACAGTAACAATACCCCAACATCCCAACATCCCTTCACCTACATCCTTACACTAACAATATGCCAACAACAAACAGTCTACATTTCAAATCTGGCACTCCCAGACAACAACAACCAATCTTGTTCTTCAAATGTCAATTTCATCCTATGGTCAAAATGACAGAACCTTCTTCGAAGTACTGCGATGAGGATGAAAACTTTCCATCGGACTTTATATGGGGAATAAATTGAAGGTTCGCGACTGATTCGAGACGAAATTTGAACTGTGAAAAATTCAATTAATTGGGGATGTAGAACGTCTTCGATGTGGATTAAGAACCAGGGGTTTCCAATTGAAGTTGTTTGTGGAGGAACCCTAGAATTTGGGGATGATTCGAGGATGAAGGTGAATTTCAATATGTTGATTTCATGAGATAGTTTTTGGTTGTCTGATTTAAGAAGTAGTGGTTTCAAATTGAAGAAGAGGCAGACATGAAAAGATTAATAGGAGTGTATTCAATTGAGACTTTTGAAAATTTTGACGAACACTTTTTAGGTGATGAATTTTGTGAATTTCATGGATTTTTATAAATTTATTTGGAATTAGTGAAATTCTTTCATAGATTTTTATGGACTTTCATTTTAAAATTTTTATAAACTTTTGTAGAATTTGAATGATTTTTGAAGACTTTCATTTTGAAATAAAATTCACATGGATCTAGTACAATGGTGTGAAATTCTCACATAAAGGCTATTGGTTTCCACAATTCCCCTTTTCCTTCTCTTTCTTCTTCTCATATAATTAAAAAAAATTAAAGGAATATAAATTTAAAACCTTATTTAAATAAGTAATAATAAAAAATAATTAATTAACTATATATATTATAATTTTAATTAAATTTTATAATAAAAAAATGAATGAAAAAAAAAGTTATAAAAATCAAATTAATTTTTTCATGAAAAATAGAGACAAACAATAAGAGAGAGAAAGATAAATGAAAATAAAAATAATCGATAGAAAAAAAAATAAATTTTAATCATACCTCCAATGTTCGTAGAAGAAAAAAGGAAAGAAATATTGAAAAAAAAATAAATAAATTTGAAAGTCTACCAAAATCTCGTAATTAATGAAAGACAAATTTTGAGATTTTATATGAGTACTTTGTGCTTAAAAGTTAGTACTCCCGAAACTTTTATAAAAGTCTCTAGAAGTTATTAAAATTTGAATACTCCAAAATTTAAGGAGATTTAAAAAAAAATCTCAATTGAACACATCGTAACTTTTAAAAACTTTTTAAAAATTTATAGAAGTCTCAATTGAATATAACGTAACGTTTAGAGACTTCTTAAAAATCTATAAAAGTCAGAATTGAATACATCAATACTTTTATAGAGTCTCAAAAAGTCTATATTAAATGCCCTTAAATTTTTTAAATTTCAAAAAAATATTAAATGTTTTAATTGAATACGCCATCCTTTAAATTTTTTAAATTTTAAAAAATTATTAAAAGTTTGAATTGAATACATCATTCTAAATGATTCCGTCTTTCACGTCGTCTTTTCATATGTGACTTGGACTTTTTTCTGTAACAACCGCGTTATACGTACAGCAACTGTTACATCATGGAACGCTGAAGTGGAAATTGGGAAAAAAGGAAAACAAAAAACTAGTCAAAATTGGTTATTTTAAAAGAAAACATAATCTCCCAACCCTCTCTCGATCCAATGTCGGTTAAGAAGAAAAGCTCTGTAACTGTTAAAATTTCAAGCGACCACCGACTAAACCCCCGACTACAAAAACGTCAGCGCTGAAACACTCTTAACCCGGTTCCCCAGTTAAGACGAAAACATTTCCAGTTGAAGGAAATTTTTAGGCGACCACCGAACTACCTAGGCCGCAGCATATCCAGTACCACTATCGTTCCACTCTATCCATTAGCAACAGACCAACAACTAACTCATTCGTCTTGGGTAAGTAAAAAGAAGGTAATTTCTCTTTATATTTGACGGTGTATATCAGAATTCGTTGGTTGATGGAATGCTGATGACGATTACATTTTTGTAAAGGCTGAGCTTCAATCTCAACCTCTAAACTCATTGACCCAGTAATATGCTGCAATAAGGTTCAATTACAGCAAATAGGAAATATATATAGCTACTTACCAAGATAGGAGGAAAATAGAAGAACATCAGAGGACTTGAAAATCTGTGGAATGGAATTTATCTATACCATTTTTACACTCCACCACGTGAATTATTTTTACAAAATGAGCATTCCATGTTAATTAGTAATATGAATTTGTGTTATGTTGATGTGGTTCTTTTATGTGATTGAACTAGATTAGATGGATGGCAAACAAGAATAAGCGAATTTGTCATTGTTGTAGACAGGCAGGACTTGTGCTGCCGGAATGCCTAAAAAATGGAAGAAGATGCCCAAACTATGGTGCGGCTTCGTCAAATGGAAGGAGGTGGAAAAGAAGAATGAACATAAAGGTTTGTTGTCGTTGTTGTACCCACGATTGTAGATATTTGAAATGGTGTAAAAATTCTCCCGATGAAAAATGTGAATTGCATGACAATGTTGAATCTAGTGGCATTACAAGCGGAGATAAGCCCGTCGAGGAGTTGTTGCACGTGTTGAAAATGCTTGCTAAGCTAATGGAAGAAAAAGACTTGAAGATTTCCCTCAACATCAACATGCACAAGGGAAAATGAGTTTCCAAAGATTTTATCTAAAATTCGATGTATTGGGATGGTGATTGGAAGGTTTCTATTTGGGGATTTGGATCTGTTAATGCTAATGGATTATTTTTGATGTAAAACTGAAGTCATTGTAATCGTTTGTGGTGATGCAAGTATTTATATGCTATAATTGTAGTTTGTGTTATTTATGGTATGTCTGCTATTGAAGGTATTTAACATACTACTTGTCCCATATAAACGTATCCTTTGCATAGTCTCACGCAATCAGACTAAAGTTATCTATACCCACCTTAATAGAAAAGGTTCCAAACCCAATGGAAATAGGTGGTAGATCATCTTCACTATTAGCAATAAAGTTATCAAGCCTATTTTGTTCATATGAATCATATCAGCTTGAATTCGTTCTTTTAGTGTATTATTCACAATTCAATTTCTTCAGAGATCTAGTTCATATAAATGCAAGAATCTAGTCCGGTAAAACTCGATCATTCAAGACTGCAAAGAAATGAACTTGACACGAAAAGCTAGACCTCTGCGGTTTCAAGTTCAATATTTTTTCCCCCCCCCTCCCCCCCCCCCCCCCCCCCCCAAAAAAAACTTAATCCAATCACTAAACCAAGATCCAAAAACTGTTTCTAATTAAATGCATGCTTTTCCTACTATCCAATGTTAATGGGCTGATTTGTCGTCCCATATGAAATTGTTGCAACAAAGGACTGCATAACAGCATTCATAGTACCCACTAAAATTGAATATAACTACGTCAACAAATATTATTATTTCCAAAAATTAAGGTGATGAAATAAAGCTAGTGGAGATAATAAATAATAATCTTGTAGAAGTCCCCTAAAAAAGAAAAAAAAAAATAGGGAACAATACAAAAACATAGCTTCTAACTACAAATTCGTACTAACATTACGTGTTTGCGTTACAAAATACGCCTGCCTATTGATGTGTATTATCATGACTAAATATTGGTGTTACTGATGAACCATCTATTTGATAAGTCATTCCAGAACTTGGAGTTTGAACATGAGCAGGAAGGAGGACCTGCAACAACGACAGGCTGAGGAATGGAATGGGTGGCACTTGACATCCAACCTGCTATGGTAGTTTTAGGATGTGACATCAGTGCTTGGAATGGCTACAGTAAGAATCATTTTCAGAATGTAATTTGGAAAAGAAAAGCATAGAAAATTGCATTAGAGTACAACTTACGCCATTAAACCAAGATGAAAACCACCAGTCGCAGATGCCATTGCACTACCTGCTGTGAAAACTACAACATCAATGATATGGAGAAAAAACCATGTGTAAATTATACCAATAAAACCATATGATTACCTTCATAATTGAGAACAACATTTGATGTCAATGGAGCAATGAAATTTGAAGCTGTGAAAGGGTTGTGCAATCGTATTACTTTCCTCGTCACCTACAAGAAATTAAAACGTAATTACAAACTGCACTTGATAAATGTCACAAAAAAATATTCACTTACCAATATGACTTGCGAGCATGAAAGTGGTGTGGGTATGGAATATTCTATAATATGTGGTATATCATGCTCAAGATTGCTTTTTCTCGACATCGGTTTCTATCCTTTGCTTGAGGTTGATGATGCTTGCACGACATACGACATTACAATATCTTATATTTTTTGTTCGTTTGGATATGTAAATGACATCAAAAAACAAGAACATAATACCTTTGATTTCTTTGAATGTGACTCCAATGGGATTTTATTGCGAAGTTTATTTGGCGCGCCTTCCTTTTTGAATATTTTGGATCTCGTATACTTCCACTGCCTGTGTCATATGATGCTCTAGATTGGGATCCTAAATGCACACCTGGGAAATGCTATTACTTCTAGAAATCAACTTCGTACACATTGTTTCCTGAGATTGTAGCTGAGTCCAATCTATTATCGCACGAGTTCGCTCTTTATCATCTATGGCAATGTCTGCTAACATAGCAAATTCTTCACACATTCTATCATACCTCAATTGGCTAGGAGTGCTAACCAAACCATCATAGTTCATTACAACCCTCGTGCGGGCTCTACAAACATCTCTCCTCTATCACCTCAATATGTACCTATTCGGTATTGATGTGACATCATTACATATCAACACCTATATGGCATATCTGCATAGAATTCCTCGAAACTCGAAGAGATGACAACTGCAAATAATATCGCACTTCTACTATCCCTCGTAAATCTTTCTCGGACATCCATCCAATGTAGATATGACATTGCAATACACCTTTCCGATTATCTCATCTTGAAATTCCCGAAACTTGGATATGGTATAAACTGCCTAAAATTACTTTTCCATTTCTTATTTTGTTCAGCGTAACATATCTCACTAATCCATCATCACGCTTTCTAGAATTCCTTTTCCTGACTGAAAAACCTACATCATCGCATATTTTTTTGTAGAATTCAAACAACTCTTTTTAATCGTTGAACTTCATACCCACCTTAGGCATAATCACAACATCTCCTCCTAAATTATCATCTTCCAATGTGATTACGTTGTCCAACAAGTTCTCATTATTGGATTCTATAAATACTTCGTCATCCAATACATCTATTTTTTCTTTCCCTAAGGTAAAATGAATAAGAATATATTAGTATTTTAATGAAATAAAAAAAAGAGTACTGTAAACATGTTCATAATTATATGATTTTATTACACTAGAATTGAAATAACATGTTACCCAATAATGAATATCAAATTCATACACAAGCAATTGTACATATTTAAACTACAACTTCAATAAAGTCTGGATTTTAACTTTCTCAGTCATTTGCTCCACCTCTATGACACCGCAGGTGCTTCGTAATTAGGTTACAAACCTTCGGTTGGTTAAGAAGATCAAATCTCCGGTGGATTGGTAGATATGCGATCGCAGTCCAGTTCAATATTGGAGTAAATTGAAGATTTTAATATCTATTTTCATTACAAAATAAGTTAAATAACATGTTACTCAATATTAAAAATCAGATTCAGGCATAAGACATAGAAAAGTAATTTTACATTTTAAAACTACAAATGCACCATGGGTTTGTATTTTACCTTCCTTAGTCATTACTTAATCCACTATGACACCGCACGGATTTCGTAAGAAGGTTTTACGGACCCATCGAAGAAGTTTACAAAAGAGTGTTCATGGATGTGTCCTTCATCGTTGTGATTGCCTTTAATATTAGGGTAAATAAGATATTTTCAGGATCGGGTGACTCGTCGTAGGAGGTGAAATTGTGCTCCGACCAAGAAATCTAAAAATTTACAGAACGTTTCCCCCCGACGAATTCTCAAAACTTTCCTCATGGGTTCACCTCTGGAGGGTTTATTCAATGCTGATTTGGGGATAATTGAATTAGGAAACACGTCAGTGAAAGAGTAAAATGGGCCAGGTTAGCTGAAATGAGAGATCAATTTAATATGTCACATTGGAACGTTAGCAAATTTGAATTGCTGTAAATAATGTTGTGAACCATGACTATAAAACAAGCTTTATTCTTTTTGTCAATTGTATAGATGGAAGTGACGATAGTGATGGATGTGTAAATGGATGAACAGTCCAGTGATAAAGGGGAAGCATGTTTGGATAAGTGCTACCACTTGGCCAAAAAGCATGGCTATATATCTCGAGCCACATGGAAGCTAGTTTAGCTTGAGGATATCACTCAGCCTACGTGCAGAGCAGTGGTGAAGAGACTTATGGCGAAGAATGGATGCAAGGCTTTCGACTTGGTGCTACATGATGGCTTGCCTAATGTTGGAGGTGCATGGGCGACAAAGGCTAAATGCTCTGGTTATTGACTTGGTTAAGCTTGCTACGGAGCTTTTGGCTCCAAAAGGGAATTTCATCACTAAGGTACTTGTTATGTATATTTGAATTTCAATGTTATTCAAGCAAAATTAGCACTGAATGCAATATGGAAATACAATTTTGGATATTACATCATAATGTAGACTTCTAATACTACTAGTTAATTATGCATACGAACACATAAACATTCACAAGTTTTTATGCTTGAAAGGTGATGCATGGAATTGGTTGATACATTCATGAATGTAATTTGAAAACAGAGAAGTTGGAGAAATTTTAATGCTTTTTAAGCTTCCATTTTTTGCACCAACAGCGAGGTTGTTCCCTTTTCGGTTTTCACTAGTGAACAAGTGGCTTCTAGTGAATTTTATTTACATAATTGCTAACTTTTTGGGTTTAGTGTCATTTTCACAAATAAATATTTTGGTTCAATAAAGAATCATTTGAATATCCATTTAGTACCAATTTTATTCCTAGAATGGTTTTCAAGACAACAAATGCTGATTTTTTACTTTGATATTTAGAAATCGCTATATTCTCCGGCACTACAAAAAAAATTGGTTCCAGCGACCAACAAAATTGGTCACGAAAGGGTATTGTTTGGTAGGTAAATACCTTTAGCGACCACATTTGCATGGCCGCTTGCTGGTCGGTGTAGATTTTCAGCGACCAATATAGTGTGGTCGTTGAATATACAACATACAGGTACCAATTATTGGTCGCCAAAGGATTGGTTGATTCATCCTCATGAATGTCTTCTGCAACCAATCTTTGGTTGGTAATGTATATATCTTTAGCGACCAAACTTTGGTTGGTAAATGTTAATATCTTTAGCGACCAATACTGTGGTCACTAGTAGTGAACATCCAGCAACCAAATTGTGGTCGGTAAACCTAGTTGATTTGTACATACTTTTGCAACCAATCTTTGGTCGGTGAACATTGATATAAGTTTTTAAATAGCCAATACTTTTTATTTCTGCTATTATTTTATTCAATATTTCAATTTTAAAAAATCATGAAGCCAGTTGAAATTAACAATTTTGATAATCGGAAACAATAATAATTAAAAAGCAATATATCGCTGCAGAAGTAAAATTGTATTGCACATATTTCAAGTATTAATAGTAGGTACATAACCCTAAATGACTAATATTTAACCACAAAAAGATGAATTATAACTTCAACACTAGATTGAATTATCTTGTTTAAATCAAATTGAGCGTAGAAGGTGTTGAGATAGTAATGTGTAGTCGAGTCATTGCCCACGACGAGATGGGCTTCTATTGCTTGAGCTTGGAAGAATAGCAAGTGACACGTGCTTCGACTTTCTTTTTGATTGCATC